TGGCGCCGAAGAAATATCTGGCGATGACCAGGAAAAATCTACGCCTTACAGTAGGATTTCTGACTGGCCACTGTCAGCTAAGGAAACACCTACATAATATGGGGCTAGTGGACACACCTCTATGCAGGATGTGTGAACAGGAAGATGAGACTGTCAGGCATGTCCTGTGCGAGTGCCCGGAGTTATCGTCAATAAGAGAGTGTGTGTTCGGCGAGTCTTGGCCTACACCTGCCGATATAAAGGAGATGTCTCCCAGCGACCTGTCCACCTTCCTGGAAAGGACAGGATGGACGACGACCTAGGAGGACAACTCCTCGGGAGGATGTACAATGGGTCACATGTGGCCTAAGTGCGTGGGCTTACACTCACCCTCCCTACTCTACAGATACAGAACCCCATTTCACACGAAATAAAAAAAATATTTTCTGGGATGAAGGTCTCCTAATTTACTTTCGAATGAAGTACATTGTTCCTATACCTAAACTTGAAAGTTTTCGAATAAATAACGTTTTCTAGTTGTTTTTAATTTTTAATATTTCGATAAAGTCAAGCCATTGTTTATTCTGCATTGTCGAGTCGTGGTCATTTTTCTGCCAGTAGTGTTCCGATCCAATGTAATTTCTTATGGCTCCTTGAAATGAAAAAATATGTCGCATTTATTTGCACAACCCATTTCATAGATTCGAATCATGCCTATTAAAATTCAAATTTTGTTATTTTCAGTTTAAATTCAATTTTCTTCCATATAACCTTCGATGTATGAACAAATATGTTTCAACACTTTGAAACAATTCTTAGTTCGACTACTACATCAATCTCCCTTAATGTTTCATTTTGAGTTTGATTGCGAACCATTCGATTGGATCTCTTGTCTGTCATTTATTCCACGTCATACACCTTTGTTTATAATGAAAGTTTATTCTATCCAAGAAAGAGTCAATATGGTTTAATCCAAGATTTGCTCAACGTTTTCGAAAGATTGTTATAGAGATTGCTTGAATCTTGTTCCTTTGATTACCCGTAACAAAAAAGAAGATACAAAGTAACTGGAAATGAAGACATTGAGGTCATAGTTTTGGGGTCTGTGGCAGAGAATCCAAACATAAGATTCAGACGAATTTTCAAACGAACTGAAATAATTTAACTCCAAAATATGGCTCATAAAGGTTGTCACAGTAAAAAATATTTGACAAATATTTTGCCGTCAGTTGTCAAATAAATAATATTTACGAATTCGCAAATTTCAGTTTAATTCATAAGCATAAACTCATTCTTCTACTACAAACATTCCTATAAATAGTACAAATATAAATAGTGGCACTTATGATGTTCAAAATACATTCACTCTGACGTGGCAGGTGTGGTATTACAGTGTTTCTGTAAAAAAAATTAAACTCATTTAATTTCAAATAAGTTCATTAAAAATATAGGTAGTTCATTTATTTATGTTTTCATCTTTGTATACACAAGGTATTTGTAGATCAACACATTTGAAAGCACAGATTAAACTACAAGGAATAAAAATGTCATCAAACACAAACAATGAATCAAGAAAGTGATAAAATAAGTCATTTCAATATTGACCAAGCCATACTGAAAAGATATTTTATATATTCAATAAACACTCTATTAGTCTATTGTGAGATTTTCACTAAACAGTTTTACAGGAACGCAACACGTGTTTCACTATTCAGTGCTTCTTCAAGCGTATCTATGCATATAGACACGCCTGAAGAAACTATTGTAAAGCGAAACACGTTGCGTTTTTGTAAAACTGTTGAGCAAGTATGTCACAAAGTGTTTCTTGAAAATATTATGGATTTTCATCAAGTATCGGCTGATTTCATCTAAGAGATTTTATGACGAACAACTACAGAAGGCTAAGTTATTGATAGATAGTCACATGTGAAAGCAACAAAAGTTGTGAAAGGTATAAATGAAACCTCTGACATAAAATTAATATAACTGAACATACTATTGAATTAATGAGCACACATGAAGAAGGAGTGAATATAACTAAAAAAGGACTTTATGACAGAATCAGAAGTCCTTCAAGTTGTCTATCAACAGCTGCTTAACAAAAAAATAGATTTCAAAATTTATTATCATTTAGAAGCTCAATCAACTAACTTTTTTTTAAATACAGATCACTGGAACTTGAAAATAACACTAAATTTCTAAGAGTGTTCATTGACCAGAATTTAAAATTTGTGGATCATGTTTAACAACAGCTGTTATGCGGTTGAAGTGGTTTATAAAGAATTGGGGTTCAGCACTGCAAAGATGACGTACTATGCACTCATAGATTCTCACTTACACCATGGACTACCATTTTGGGGAGCATGCAGTCCAACTTTATTCAAAAGTCTACTAATTTTACAGAAAAGAGCAATAAGGTATATAGAAAACCTTGAACCAAGAGACTCCTGTAGAATCTTCTTCAAAACTCATAATATTCTAACGGTAACTGCATTATTTATACTGGAATCTGTGTGTTTAATAAATAAGCCGATATAAAATTTTGCTGCATCCTCTTACTACTAAAACAGCAGACACACTCTGAAACTCACTGTGTCAACTAAAACATCACCAGAGACTCCATATTTTACAACGATGGAAAAATGTACAATCATTTGTTATGGACATAAGATCTGCCAATTTCATTTGGTATGTATTGCATCATATGCAATACATACCATATGTCTTATTATAATAAGGCATATTATTATTATTATTATTAATGTTGACAACATCGGATATATATGATGGAATTGGCCGATACTTGTTGAACGTATTGAAAAAACACTTCATTGTGAGATTTTCACTAAACAGTTTTACAAAAACGCAACATGTGTTTCGCCATACAATGGCTTCTTCGGGCGGAGTAAAGACACGTATTCAAAAAACACTTTACTGCAAGATTTTCACAAAACGATTTTACCAAAAACACAACTCGTGTTTTGCCATACAATGGCTTCTTCGGGCGGAGTAAAGACACGTATTCAAAAAACACTTTACTGCAAGATTTTCACAAAACGATTTTACCAAAAACACAACTCGTGTTTTGCCATACAATGGCTTCTTTGGGCGGAATAAAGACACGCCCGAAGTAGTCATTGTATGGCGAAACACGTGTTGCGTTTTTGTAAAATCGTTTTGTGAAAATCTCTCTTTTGTGAAAAGTGTTTTTGAATACGTTACTATCGGATATATCATGAGATCGAAATTTACCCAGATATGAAATGAAGTTCAAAGGATAGTGCGTTCATGAAAAACAGAAAAAGTTGATGTGTTTAGAAAACGGGTAATTGAAGGCTTACAAAAAACCTAGAGGGACGGTTAAGTTACCTCAAAGTAAAATGCCATGTCAGGTGGCTATGCACAGTCGTAAGTGTGTTTGTGCCAACATTCTTCAGTAGTCTGCTGACCAGGAAGATTCAACAAGCCAGCTTCTTTGTAAGTATGACGATATATATAATGGAATCAATCACTAATCTGACGTAATACATGACTATGCTACTTGATGAAAATTAATAAAACTATCCATGATAATAATTGTACAATTTTCACACATTTTATTGGAAACGCGTATCACTACACGGTAGCTTCATCAGTTGAAATGGTACAACAAACTACTCAACAATGTCTTTTATTTAACAGTATATGTAAAAGTTATTAACTTAAATATATACATGATTAAGTAATTCTGGCAAAACAGGAAGATTATGGAAAATCAATCACAACACATACTTCTAAGAAAACAGGTTATTTATAAATATATTGAATTATTGTCATTTTATGCCAAAACCTAATTAGATTTCTAGCAAGAGAGGAACCCTAGAGTTCCACGATACCCCCGTAGGGATTCCACAAAAAATTAGAAACAAATTCAAAACACCTATCACTGTTCGACCGTTTTGACGCGGCGTATCACGATTCACGAGGCGCGGCCGAATGGGCCGCCGCGCCGCTCGAGACAAAGCTACCGCTGCCATGTCGAAAGGCGGCGTTCGGCTACTCCAAAGAATCCGATGCAAGCATTTGGGTGAACGTACCGGACAATTTTACTATGCCGCCACCGCCGATATCTACTTGTGAGCGCGCAATACCTTTGATAAAAGCCGCTTCTGAGATTAGACGCTATAGTTGTGAACAGGCGACTTTCGGATCTAATATCAAAACATTAAGTCCAGATTGTTTTTTGTATTTCTATTTTCATTTTGGCTTTTTATTTATCAAAGGAGCCGATTCGAGTATTTTTGAAAATGTTCTAGATCGAGGCTACGACTATGAAAGCGACAAGAAAGCGAAAGAAGTATTTTTCTAAAGAACAGAATTTTGTATTCTGCTCTGGAACAGAATTCATAGATTCATAATCCCTGATTACCCAACTTACAAAAGCCCGGAAGTATGTCAAACGAGATATATGAATCTCTTTTAGAACTGTCATCAGATACAAGTATGGAGTCACTGTTCGAAACGAATCTTTGCTGCATAGTCCATGATTAATATCCAATGCTTGCCAAAATGGCTCTGAATATTCTTCGACAACCATCTTCAGTTCAGACAGGTTGAAGCTTAACTCCCTTACCCTTTCGGCTGATTAAATCTGAATATTTTTCTCTCGTTCCCAACAATATAGTGCGAAATAGGATTCTCAACCTCTGCAGCCACGAAAGCAAAATACCGCAATGTACTAGACACCGAACCTGATATGAGACCTCAACTTTCTTCTATTAAACCTAATATCAACCAATTGATGAGAAATAAAAAAAACAGTTTCATACCTTCCATTAGATAGATTTTTTCTTTTTTAATATCTTCTAGTATTATATACTTAATATGTAAGAAGGTAATAAGTAATATATTACATTGTACTTTTAATACTTAAATGAATAATACACTTTAAAAAAGTATTGTTTTATTGTGAGGCTCCGTCAAAAATTTTAGAACCGCTGTACCAGTCCAACTCTGATGAAACAACCGTGTTGCAAAACACGTCTCAAATATAACTACAGTATGAAAATTGTATAACCATTATCATGGATAATAATACTAATACCTAACAGTCAGGGCCGTAGCGAAAAGAAAAACCAGGGGGGAGGGAATCCGAATATTCCCAACCCCACCAGCAAAATTTCTCAACTTTTGAAATAATGAAAACCGCGTAACCAGATTCTGTTGTTTGAGAAATTGCTAACTCGAAAACGACGGAAGCGATACACAACATGGACAAACTAAACACGGACGGAAATACATAACACATAACAGGCCAGAGTCCAACGTTATTTCTGATGAAAACCAATCGTGCGCTTCTTCGATATCGAGCCTTTTAATGCGCATGCGTCAGTTTTTCTACCCTCTTCACAATACTGGTTTTCCCCTCGCGAAAAGTTGGGAATTTTGTGAAATTGTCACTTCAAAATTTGTGAACTGTTCAGGACTGTTCTCTTACTTGGGAGAAATTAAAATTTTTTGAAGTCTTCAAACAACTCAGAATTTCAAAGTATGGGATCTCAAAGTTATGCATGTTGGGAAATCCAAACCTTCTCCTGGTTTCTTTCCCTTTTCTTATAACATCTCCCTTTCTTTTCTCTCATTTTTATTTTTTAAATCCTCATTCATTTTTTTACTATTATTTTTTTCTATCTTCACGGCCCAAAATTTTCAAATTTTTTCCCAAATCGAAAAAGCAGGGGGGAGGCTCCCCCCAATCCCGCACATGACGACGGCCCTGCTAACAGTAACTACAATAGTTACTGGTTCAACATGTATTCACATAATACATAACACTGAACACAATGTATTGGATGATAGGCAGCGTAGGTATTAAACCACAAGCCCAGGGAAATTCTTAGGGGGTGATTTTATACACCACGAGTCATATATAATCTTGAAGTGCTGGTCGAAAAACAAATTTTAGGCACTATGTCGTCAATTTTCCGCGGTACAGGTGAGTGCACATGTGAGATGAAATGTTGTCAAAAGGGGGTACTTTTTGATTACATCATAGATGACGGCTCTATTCTCGTTAAAGAGGCAATGAAAAAAGAATACTTTAAAACCAGTGCCGTCAAAAAATATCGGTACCGGAAGTCAGAAATTTTTTTTGGAAATCGGCGATTTTACCCCCCTCCCCAGTTAATCGAATACTTGACGGCGTTGATTCAGTTAACTTTGCCTTTACTTAAAAAACTATAATATATCTATGCCGTCAGAAAAGGGGGGTACATAGGGTCATAAATCGCGAATCAAAACCCGATTTTTACCCTTTGTGGAAATGGTTATTCAGAATTTGACGGCACCGATTTGAGTTGTAGGTTGTAGGTGTTGTAAACATTGTGCCGTCAAAAAATGATAGTTCATGCAAAAAAATACTAAAATTTTAGAGCAAAAAATCAATTTTTTCTGATAAGGTCATTTATTTCAGGACGGCATATGGTTTTTTTTTTTAATTGAAACTAATTATTATGGTTTTATAATTATGGCATCAATAATTCACGGTACCCTATTAAAATACAGAATAAAAATAAAAATAACTCGACATTTCAGTATTGAACCATGAAGGCAGGCCAGTGAATAAAAAATTGGTTTACAATTAGTAGACGTACTGATACGTGATCGTTCTGATGGAGTATAATTTAAGATTTATGAAAAACTTATATACTGCGAAATATTCGAATCTTTGATAAAAATTTTCAGTAGACGATGAGTACGACCTTCGAAAATTCGAATATTCGAAACTACTCATAACAAAGCGTTTTTCTCACTGTGTGCAGCCTGTCTCCTCAAGTCCGAACTCGTGCACGCCAAAAGCACCGTCCCCACTATCAGCGTGACGCACATGGCCAGGTTAGCCCAAAGACCGCTCCACTGGTAGAAAATGAATGAGTAAATACTGGTGAAAATGATGCCAAAGACGTTAGCAGCCGCGTTGAGCAGACCTGCAGAAGTGCCTTCGGGTTCTGGGTAGGTCAGCTCGGCTGCCAGTTCGAAACCGACGGGGAGCAGTCCTGTCATGAAAAATCTGAAATAAAATGAAAATTAAATAGTTCAGCATAGGCTGAACATGAATCCAGATAAGGTACTCACGTTATCACGTTTTCAAAGACCCAACTAATTAATAAAAATACCCATGACTATATGAAGCGATAGAAATTAAAAAACATTTTCAACAGAAAATGAAAGGAAATGAACATCAACAAAATCTAGGTTGGGTTAGGTCAGGTCCAAGGTGAGTCAGTCTATTCGATCTCCACCGCAACCCGCAAGGGTTTAATCTGGCTCACACCTATTCACACTCGACCAAATAAATCCAGCTTCTTAACGAAGCCGATTAGTTTGTATGGTGTGTGGTCTTTCATGGCAGATGGAAAGAGTACGGCCCTGCCGAACTCTATAAACCTGATTCGGTCCCCAGAGGGGCAGGCACTGTGCCTGCCAGCGGAGCAGGCACAGGCTGTATGAGACAGCAGGCTCTGCTGTCTCATCATTAATGTGTTAGTCGGATAGTCAAGGTGCTAGATTTCGACCTTGATACACGCGACAACCTTTCCATATGAGGGTTTTTGCACGTCAGCTACACCTGACGATGCCTTAAATTCAACCGTACAGGGCTTTTTCGCCTCTGGTTTTGGTGAATCATCACTTGAGCGCAAACGTTTGCTAACCTGCTCATGGGAAGTTTGTTCCTCGACCTGAGACAGATTCTGCGTACGCCGCTCAAGAATTTGGTGCAAGGCGGTTTCATGAGGTACGCCAGTCTTGAGGAGACGACTCAGTCGTTCCCTGGCTGCACCACCAAACCTTTTTTTTACGTTCAGCTATTGGATCAGGAGTTGGGAAGCTCTCGCTCCTGATCTAAATTTACAGGGAGGTCAGTTGGAGTTGTAAGCTCGACATCCATCTCCTCTGTAGACTTGCTCCTGATCTAAATTTGCAGGGAGGTCAGTTGGAGTCGTAAGCTCAACATCCATCTCCTCTGTAGACTTAGCGTCCATAAAAGTCCCACGAGTAGCTAGGGAAAGAAGGTCAATCACGGCAGAGCCCCGTATCACCGTGAAAAGGCGATGCTACGACGAGAGGGCGCCCGGTATCTGGAAGGTTCCGTAGAGACAGCTGATTAGCTCACTGTCATTCATCCTCTCGGCATGGATACACACACTTTAGGATTAAGCCATTGTTGGGATGCCATTCAGTTAGGGAATAAGAGAACCACAAGTGATTCTGTCATTCCCGTATCCAGCGGGGCTACGTGGAAGCAGCCATCCGATGGCCGATTTGCTCAACCACCACATCCCAAGCCAATACACTCGCCAAAAACAGCATACACAGTGGTTCAGGCAGTGAAAGATGAACAAAGACAGCCATTCCGCCCAAATGTAGTAGACAATAATCTAGCTAGCGGCGATAAATCACACTCTTAGAATGAGGCTGGGCAGTTTGAACTTTTGAAACGAAGCCAAGACCTCCACCAATGGAAATTCAATCATCGAATGTATTATTTGCTGTGAGGACACTTCGTCCGTTGTCTCATCGCCTTTGATGAAACGCCACGCAGAGAATATCTTCGACACAGTTATATCCAGACGTGAAAGTTTGCACTCTTTGATTAACACAACAATTAAGTCTGTTCATGAATCAATTTCTTACTTTATGACGTATTCCTGAGGCAACTGTGTTGCAATTTCTATTCTATGTATGAACTCTGGAATGCCCTGCGGTTTGTAACGAGTGCGTGCGAATCCTCGTTAAAAATCTAAGGGTCTCATAAAAGGTGATCTTGCAGGCTATTCCACTGGTTTTATATTTGTCATTCAGTCAGTTCAGAAGTCCATTTCAACATTATGGCAATTACCTTAGAATCAATAATTTTTTTTCGTTACGGACTCCCAAGCCCGTGGATCCTTATATTCCAGTGGCAACTGCAGAGAGTATTCGGGCTTATAAAATTGTCGGTCAGAAAACTGAAAAAATATCGAATACTTACCCCAATAAACAGGAAATTACGTAGACAACAGGAATAGGGCTTGATAGGGTAAACGTATAGGTGGCCATGCCTACCAACGAAAACGCATATACAACCAAAATCGTTTCTCTGCGAAAAAAAGTAATTTATTGAAAAATCCAGACTATAACGATTATCACCTACTTGAATTTACGGTATTTGTCTAAAACGACACCACAGCAGACTGACCCCAGCATTCCTGCCAAAATAATGGCTAACCCTATACGTCCAGCGTCTTCGTTGGCACCCTGTGAAATTTCTTTATACAGTAGGGGTTGAAATTGTTCCAATATGTCCAATAAAAGTACATATTTGTAAATGATTCAAATTTATTTTTATTTATTCAATTTAAAGGTATGAAAGTATTTTTTTGCTAAAACAAAGATGAAATCCTTTACAAATCAAACAAAAGTATAAGGAAGTATAAGTATAAGTATAAGGAAAAATCTACCAGTTTTGAAAACTTACCGGATGGTAATATAGGATGATCTGATTCAGAAGTGTCGAAATTGCATAAAAAACTCCTGTGATGATACCATACGCAATCAGAAGCAATACATAAGATCTATTCTGAATTAAATTTTTCAAAGAAACTGAAAAATCGACGGTATCCCCAGAAGCGATTTGCTGAGCTGCAGCATGAGAGGGGGGAGTGGGCGGGGCGTTTTCGAAAACTGAAAACATGAAAATCATTCAAAAATGCAATACACAAAAATTTGTGCAGTAACTCACACAATAAAATGAGGACCAGAATTATTGTCGCCACAACAGCACTGGATATATGTAACACATAAAACTGCGTCGAAGTTTTCTCTATTGTACTATCGGCTCTGACAATGATTGGGGGTACTAGAAACCCTATAGCGATTCCGAGCTGAAAAAAATCATTCACTTCAAGATCTGGGAAATAAAATAAGATGATCGAAGGTAATCCTACTCACTGCGCCAAAAAAGTTGCTTCAGGGTCGAATATCAAGTATATATTATATGTGAAGAGCATTTATGGTGCAGTTGGTAGGATTGTGATCAGAAATCATTGTATCTTACCTGATTACCGAATACTCCAATGCTACACGCTGAAGACACTTGCGTGGGACCGAACCAAACGGCCGCCACCCGTGCAGGAACAGACAGAATGAAAATTTGAGAGAAGGCTATCATGGTTTGACCGACGAACGCCAGCCAGAAGCGGTCCGGACTGACAGATCCCACTTTGACCCATGCTCCTGCGCATGTGCCTACTATGCCTATTATCACAGCTTTTCGTAAACCCTGTAGAAAAATTGAACGGTCGGAAGTGTTTGGAAACACTTTTCCAGTACTAAAGCATAGTGTCTCGACAAGCAATTCGCTAACCAAGCATTATCTTCTAACGATGATTAATTAAAATAAAAAAAAAATTCTTGTTAATAATTTTTTATTTTCATCTGGTGTTAATAGTTTATTTTTTTGATTTTTTCGTTATTGTTTGTATTTTATTTCATTGTAATTTCAGTTTTTTTGTATAGTTGTTTTTTCAGCTAATCCTTTTTTTTACAGATTCTTTTAGGTGTTTCAAATTAATTTATATCATATTAGATAATGGAAGTCCGAACTGATGAAATTCAAGGTATATATGAATTGATTCAAAACATCCATGTTATATTAAATACTTGCTTAGTGCGAAATTTCTTGGTTTCATTCTAGATGAAAATTTATCATCGATACAACATATTGAAACAATATATAGCAAATAGCTTCTATAACTGGAATTTCATTCAAAGATATTTTGTACCAGTAAAATACCTTAAAAATAATGGTCAAAAATAAACTCAAATATTGAAATCCAACTATCAAAATTAATAGTGATGAACATAACCAATCATGACAAAATATTCGGGCAATCTGAAAACGAATACTGGGCAAAATTTGATTTATTAAAAAGGATCAACTTTTACAATGAGCTATCAAATGTTAAAAAAATTAATGAACAAAAAATCCACATTGTCCCAGGTGAACAGAATTCAGGTACTAAATTGAGTTGATACCTTGGTTAGGTTAGGTTAGGTTGGGTTAGGTTACGTTAGGTTAGTTCAGCGTTAGGTTAGATTGGGTTAGATTAGGTTAGTTCAGGTTGGGTTGGGTCAGTTCAGATTAGGTTAGGTTAGTTCAGATTAGGTAAGGTTAGTTCAGGTTAGGTTAGAATAGGTTAGGTTAGTTCAGGTTAGGTTAGGTTAGTCTCGGCTGAAGCACTCTGCGTAATTGCAGGAGTGACTCCGATCGACCTCCAAATCGAGGAGAGGGATGAACAGTACCAGACAGCCGAAAACAGGAACAGGGAAATGAATGCAGAACTGAGAAGGAACACACTCGAGAAGTGGCAGGATAGATGGAGGGCAAATACAGCGGTGGCACAAAGGACGAAAGTACTGATCCCCGAAATAAGCGTGTGGACGGAATGTTGACACAAAAGGTTGGACTACCACATGACGCAGTTCCTAACAGGACACGGTTCTTACAGGACATACACCCATCGTATCGGGAAAGCGGAAAACGCCTTGTGCATCTATTGCGGAGAGGAAGACGACCGAAACCATACGATCTTCTATTGTAGGAGATGGGAGCACTACAGGGAAGACGTGGAGGTAAATGAGGAAAACATAATCTCATACATGCTAGAAAGCCGCACAAAGAGAACGAGGAAATGCGAAGTCAGCAGTAGTCCTTTGCTGATATCGGAAAGGAACGACGAGATACTTTCACGTGACTGATGTAATATCCTAAGGGATTCTCCCGGTTACGTGAAGCAGTTCAGGGGGGTTTTAGTCGGTAGGAGTCCGACACTACCGTTCGCGATAGATCATAAGCGGCGGTGCCCATGAGCTGGGTTTCCCCCCGACCAAAAAAAAAAGGTTAGGTTAGTTCAGGTTGTGTTAGGTTAGGTTAAATTAGGTTAGGTTACTTATAGTGGTGTTTAGTTATATCAGGGCTAGCATTATCATTTAATTTCAGTTTTGTTGTATGTGTTTTGTAAATGTCCATATAGAACAAAAGTGCTGTCACGATAGTTTAATATAAAATAAATAAATTGATGGATGTAGCCATTACTATGTGGTACGTAAGACCGGTAAGAGAACTAGGAATACGTCTTAACAAGTTGTTCAAAAATATTACCAATTTCGTCCCACCTCACAGCATTAAAAATTCACTGACTTTAGTAGAAAACATAAGGAACCAAATCACGCCACATAATTCAATTTTAGTGTCATTCGATGTAAAGAGTATATTCTCCAAAATACCGTACAACGAGTGTAAGCCCCTCATTTTAGAAATATTAATCAAGCCAAATTAGATCATATCACTTCCTTTGAGGTTTCAACAGCTTTCGATGTGTGCCTGAATCAGAGTTATCTACAGTTCAACAACAAATTCTATAAACAGGATTCAGGTATACCAATGGGCTCACCCCTTAGTCCACTTTTAGCAGACATATTTATGAACAACTTGGAGACCAAGATAGTAAACTCCGACCTGGATAAAAAACATATTCATTTTTGGTACAGACATGTAGACGATATTCTTGTCTGTTTCAGAGGTACTACACGACAGCTGAACCAATTTATGACATTCATGAACAATCTCAATAGCAACATTCAGTTCACACTCGAAACAAAGATAGAAAAACAAATAAATTTCTTAGACCTGGTCATTACACACAATCAGAATAAATTCGAGTACAATGTTTTCAGAAAACCTAGCTATACAGACATCACCATCCCAAGCGATTCTTTCCACCCAGACAGTCATAAATCAGCAGCCTACAATTCAATGTTGCACAGAGTATTCTCACTGCCTTTGTCTGCAGACAATCTAGCTAGGAAAATTGATACAATTAAACAGATAGGTCATAACAACGGTTTCAACGCAGATACTATCTAGAAGTTAGTCAGGAAACAAAGCCGGAAATTCACTTGTAGAATAATACATCAAGAAATGGGTAACGCTAACATATTTTGAAAAAAAAAAACAGAAATTGTCGCAGGTTTCTTCAGAAAAAACGAAGTGGAAGTAGCATTCAGACCACATGCCACGTTATCTCATTTTATTTCCAATGCCAAAGATAAGGTCGACAAGTTGGAAAAATCTGGAGTTTATAAGCTTAAGTGTCCGGAGTGTAATAGTGTTTATGTGGGACAATTCCGACGAAATTTCCAAAAACGGTATGTTGAACATCAAAGGTCCTTCAGACTGGGAAAAAATGATTCGACGTGTTCAAACCATTCCTTGGTATGCAACCACAAGTTTCCGAATCTAAACAATACGAAAATTCTGCACTATGCAAGGAAGGGTTGCAAACTCAATTATTTAGAATCCTTGGAAATTCACAAGCATAAATATTGCGGGTGCAACCTGTTAAATGACCAAATCGATTTAATTTACTCTCCGGTTTTTAAATTGGCGCATTGTGAACTGTAAATTCAGGTACTCAATCAAGTACCTGAATGGTATATATTAGCGAATGTAATGAATCATTCTTAGTTTATTGTTTAAGTTTGAAAATATCCATATAGGACGAAACTGCAGTAACGTTAGTTACAAATAAAAGTCGCAGAAAACATAGAAAGTTTCATTTTCATGATGATCTCCCATCAGGTAGTAACGGCATTTTTCATCTAGGTTTCGAGTTTCAGCCCAATATCTCATACAGAGTGTCGGTTAGACGATGACAAATTTTCAAATCCATGATTTTTTGAGTGACCCTGTATGAAAGTCTATGAACTCTACAGAAAAGATGAAGTAACCATTCAATAAAATAATACTTCGCAAGCTCAGCTACGAAGTTATATAAGTAGTGATCGTTTTATGGAGTTGTCTCTAGTTTAATTAAAATCAACAATTCAAATGTTGAAAACGTGTTTTTAATTTTAAAAAAATTACCAACAACAGAAAATTCAGGCAGGTCTTCTTCAATTGGCCTAGAGTTATTTCACCACACTTTTGCCTTATCCTCTCCTTCAATCCGTTAAAATTTCGTGGTCCATTTCTATAAACACTTTCTTTCAAATATCCCCACAGAAAAAATAACGGAGTCAGGTCTGGTGATAAAAGGGCTGTTCCTTTGAATCCATCTTCCTTCTGCGTTCTTCAATTCTCAGTTTTTCGATGAAATCCAAGATTATAAAATCTTCCACTGTTCAGTGTCTTTTCGAAAAACACTGGACCTATTATAGGTTTTGAATATTCTCAACCAGACATTGTTTTTTTTTGTGAATATTGTCTTTTCGCATTTATCATCCAGTTTGGATTCTCCCTTGCCCATTACCTGGAATTCTGAGTGGACAATATACCGTTAGTGGTAAATGTCGCCTCATCGATGAAGAGAATATTGCCCAGAAAGTTATTATTATTCAAATATTCACCTTGGTAGAATAAACAGAATTTCAACCTTCGTGTCTAACAAATAACTTATTTTTTTTTTTCGGTAGGTATAAAATGCAACTATCAATAGAAGAAATTCATGAACTCACCAACTTTTCCAAGAGATAGCTAGCAGGAAAGACGAAAGGTACATATAGAACCATGAAGATCATAGAGGTCCAGTCAACCCATGTGGTCGAGATACCATAGTACTTGACTATGACGTCCGTAATGATGGAGAGCTGAATCCAGTGGCTGGAGTTGCAAGCCGAGTACATCACAAAAATGGCCAAAACCACCCATCGCACCCCGTATACTTTGGTCTTCGGTACTGAAGGGACGTCCACGACCTCCAGAGCCTCTTTGCTTTCTACCATCTGGTTCATGTTGATGTAGGATTGTAAAATTCCTGCGGAGGAACAATTTGTTAAACGTTGGAATATCTAGTGTGCTAACGAAATTGATCGGATCGTCAATTGGGAATTAATCGATCGGTTTTATTCTTTCAATTAGTGTGGCCTGGTGACGAAATTTGAACCGTTCATACGGAGCGTCAAAAATTTGGCGTGTGTCGATTGTTAATTTGTATTACAGGGTGTTCTAAAACCTAACATGATCACTTCAAGGTCTGATTGGGCAACATAACATCAATATATGAATTCAGTTTGACATTTGGAGAGGTATATAAGTACAAAGGCATAAAATAATTTGTTTCAGAAAAAGTGTTTAGGTGGTTTGAAGAAGAAAAGTTTGAATGAGTGCACGTCCCAAACCTCTTGGCTTTTAAGCTACAGGGTGTTAAAATCTTGAGAAAAAAGTTTTTTCGTCATAACTAAAGTAATTTCATAGATATGTTTATGGAATTCCGAACACGCTATCTGAGCATCTACAGTCATATTTTAATGTAGATGATTTTTCAAAACTTCAACCATGGCGTCCAAACAGGTATGTGAATAAGATATAAAAAAATATACAGGGTAATTCGAATTCAACCCCCACCATTGGGATCTCTTAAACTACAGGAGATATGTCGAAGCTTAAATTGGGACAGAGTTGCGTTTTTTGTGTTTAACAAAATACTGTTTTGAAACTTGGAAAATTCTGAGTATTTCCGGAAATATCCAGAAAAAACTGAAAATCGTAATAGCTCAAAACCAAGAACATTTTTTTAAATACTTTTTTCAGCTACACGTTTTCAGACAATCATCATCAACTTTTTTTTATATTATGGGCACCATATTGTTTTTTTATACATAAAAATAGTACTTCTCATTCTGATTTGCTTGACGTATAATTTGTTACGATTTGCTCTTCTGAAATCACAGGCATTAAAAAAAAATAACTCCATCTGAGATAGTCATGACTCCATCGAAAAATTTTGTTTAATAAACACTAGTTGTCAGAACTCATCAAACATCATAAGTCTACACAAATACTTCAGTCGAAATGTCCTCATTCTCAAATGAAGAAAACAGAGATATATTGAAACTTTATTATAAATTTGATAGGAATAGTACGAAAACAGCATAAATTAATTTTGAATTATATACGGAAAGACAACAGCCAGATAGAACATTATTCGGAATTTTGGACAAACACTTGGCTGAGTACGGTGCGTTTCAAAAACCAAGACTGAAGTTTGAAAAAAAATCTGTTTGAAATCTGTTTTTCCGTTAACCAGCATTCGCAACCCTACGAACGACAACCCTCAGAAGTCAAAACTTATGCCAGCTAAGGACTAACGAAATCTCATCTTTTAACGTGAGATTCCTAATACGGGGACAGAATAGAATAAAATACCAGAAATAACTCATTAGCCGAGGTGATATGATTGTTCTCTCCATATTCGAAGAAGAATGATTATTTTTGGTACTTTTTTAGACAAATGCAGATCCTTCCAAATCCACGCATCTAGTCTCGGTAGAAATGAATGTGCCACAGACGAGTGTTTGGAGGGAATTCATAAAAAATGGTTTGATATGTTATAAGATACATATTTCACAAAAATTGCAACCAGGTGATCCTGAGAGAAGGATGGATTTTTGAAAAACATTATTTGGACCGACGAAAGTACTTTTTCGACCTGTGGTGTTTTTAATAGAAATAATGAGCACATTTGTAGTGAAAATAATCCACGACACTTCAAAAAAGTGAATGTGTGGACTGGAATTTATAATCACCGAATACTTGGATCTTATTTCTTCTATAATACTTTGAACAGGGACACCTATCTTCGGTTCTTAAGAAACGAATTCGAAGAATATATGGATACTTTTTCCCTTGTTAATTATAACAGCTGCTGGTTTCAGAATGATGTGGCTCCTCCACACAATAAAAGAGCAGTTTGCGAATATTTACACCAAAGATTTCCTAATAGCTGGTTACTAATTTCTAGACCACCTCACTGGATACTTTTTTGTGGGGCACTTTAAAAAACAGAATCTATGGAGATCAAGAATATGACATAGTAGGTGAACTTAGTGAACTTAAAGAAAATATCATCACACAATTCAGGTCTATCAGAAAAAGGGATATTGTTAGGGCTCTTCTTAATTTGAGCCGACGAGCTCGCTTATGTATCCAAGAGGAAGGCTATCATTTCGAACACTTGTCGTAATACTTTTTGTGCATTTTTAAAAAGCTCATGATTTCATTCTTGGTTTTTCAAACGCACCGTACTCAGCCAAGTGTTTGTCTGAAATACCGAATAATGTTCTATCCGGCTGTTGTCTTTTCGGAAATAATTCAAAATGAATTTGTGCTGTTTTCGTACTATTCCCATCAAAAATAAAGTTTCAACATATCTCGTTTTTCTTCATTTGAGAATGAGGACATTTCGACTGAAGTATTCGTGCAAACTTATGATGTTTGATGAGTTCTGGTAACTAGTGTCCATTAAACATCTCAGATGAAGTTGTTTTTTTAAATACCTGTGGTTTCAGAAGAGCAAATCAAATAAAACGAAAATTCGGATTTTCAGTTTTTCCGGTTTCCGGTAATAATAAGGCAAAATGAGGTGCTTTTCGAATACGGTGGTGTAATATTTACTACGTTTTGATTTAGAGTCACAAACAGTGGTTAATTTGTAGTTCGCGTATCATTGATAGAATCGACAGAAGGAAAGAGAAAATAAGCAAAGTAAAGTGTACCCAATCTATGTTACATATTGGTTCAAAGTATGACTCCCTCCAACACGTTTGAAATTTTGATTCTCAGTGTTTTCTACATAAGTTCAACCGCAGCAATAATTTTCGGCTCTGCTGAATTCTAAAAACCTGATTCGGTCCCCAGCAGGGCAGGCACAAAGTATGTGCTCTGCTGTTTCATAATTTTTCAAACAGAGGCGACACACACTGTCTTTTGACAGTCCGAGTCTCTGCATATGATGATTCAAATAACGGTGACCTGTAAGAAGGCCTGTTAGATATCGTAGTTCATCTCTACTGTAGTCCAACAACTATTTGGTATCAAGCTTTGAAGGGTGAATAAACGCCTTGGAGTTAGCCAATCCTGGAAGATTCTGCCAGAAGTCCATGAATCTTCTTGCCATCCAGTTGTTCAATCTTTGTTTGGCGAAGCCTAAAGCGATGCCCATTACAGGTTCTGGTCCGATGAAGCTAACTGCAGCGCCCTCCTTTGCAAGAGAGTTAGCAGCTTCATTGCCTTCCAGGCCAGTATGCCCAGGAATCCAGACTAGAGACAATCTGTTTAGTCTTCCTATCGGGAAGAGTCGTTTTTGGCAATTAGCTACCAACTTAGACGTTGCTCGCTAGTATCATATGAAGAAGGACTTCATATTATACTTTGACTGAACCACATGGCCTCAATCCAAAAATGTATTTTCTTGGCTATAAGCCTATTTTGTTTTATAAAAGTCAAATATTGCAAATGTGCCATGTACTTATTTTGATACTTCCTGTTGCCTGACAAGTAAGTAATCTTAAACAATTTTTCCAAATTTCTTAACCTTAAAGTTTAAAAACTTTTTGCAACTTCAATTTTCACTAAATTTCCTTTTCAATTAGATCACTTACTTTCAGGTGAGCACTGAAGATGACGAAAGTCGAAAGCGCTTTGCAAGAATTTTAAAAATTATACACTTTAATACAAAAACCTCTTCGATTCATTAATTCTCAGGAATTGATTACATCTATAGAAAGGGTATTATCTAGGGTTAGTATCATATAAAAATATCATTATTTATTAAAGTATTACATTTTAGAGTTTTTCAACAGAAATTCCAAAACTGTCATCAGTGTTGAAAGAGACCTAAATCTTTATAACTAAATCATAATCGGTTAGGTTAGGTTAGGTCCAAAGTGAGTGGGTCTATTCGACCCTCCACCGCAACCCGCAAGGGTTCATTGTGGCTCACACCTATTCACACTCGACCAAATAAACCCAGCTTCTTAACGAAGCCGATTAGTTTGTATGGTGAGTGGTCTTTCAGGTCAGATGGTGAGAGTACGGCTCTGCCTAACTCTAAAAACCTGATTCGGTCCCCAGCGGGGCAGGCACAAAGTATATCGTTAATGAGGTAGTCGGATAGTCAAGGTACAAGTTTCCCACCTTGATACCCGCGACAACCTTTCCATATGAGGGTTTTTGCACGTCAGCTACATCTGACGATACCTTTAATTCAACCGTGTAGGGCTTTTTCGCCTCTGGTTTTGGTGAATCATCACTTGAGCGCAAACATTTGCTAACATGCTCATGGGGGGTTTTTTCTTTCACCTGGGACAGATTCTCCGTACGCCACTCAAGAATTTGGTACAAGTCGGTTTTATAAGATACCCGCTTAGTCGTTTCCTGGCTGAACCACCAAACCTTTTTTTTTTAGGTTCAGTTATGGGATCAAGAGTTCAAAAGAATAATAGATCAAAGAAAAAAAATAATCTACGTATTATTCAACGAATATTTACGCTCATGAATGTTAACCTAATCGCGCTCAACTGTTGGGCCTGTCTCTTGACAAATCCTCCTTTTTTTTTGCGCTCACAAACATTTCTGTGTACGCAAAGTTGCCATTTTTAAATTTTAGTCGCAGAATATAATTCAAATATTTCATAATTATTTAATGAACATTGATGCTGTTGAAAACATTTCATTAGCAGGAAGTTTCTTTAATGAATAAAACACGTTTTCCGCTATTCTATGGCCATTTAGCTGCGTGTGTATGATCTAAACAGAAGATGATGAAATATACAGAATCACAACTTGACAACAAAGTTTTCGTTTCAATGCAAAAAAAATCTGAGAGTTTAGTGCCTACCATTATGGGACTTTGGATTAGTTTATTCATACAGTCTCCCAAATTAACTTTCGCAACTCCTCAAACTTTTTGATTTCTTTCGATTAAAAAAAAATAATGAAACTCCCTCAAAACTTCATTTTGCGCCATGGTTTTCTTCTTACTACGGTCCTGTCTTCTCCGACGCCGTCGACAAAATCCCAATTATTAGGATTAGTCAGTAAACGTAAACGTGACATGCCGGCAAAAACATTTGCATTACGTTAGCGTTAATTATTTTAAGCAACATTTGGCTTGTTTTTCAATAATTTTACAAGCGAAACAAATTTGAAAATGACCAGACAGATGAACTCACCTAATCCAGAATTGCCCAAGGAGGTTGATAAAGTCGTCAATAACTAATGTAGTCTTTTGAAGGAAACCGCTAATTCAGCACATATAACCGTAACAAAAGATACGTGGAATATAACTCTATACAGGTCAGGTCCGCACCGACCCGTACTCGTTAATTTTCAGAAATTAGAATAATTTTTAGAAATTATGGAATAGAGGACCATTGAAACATTAATTTTTACCTTTTTTGTCTCGAGAATTCGGAAAAGTCTGGAATTTACGAAATTGAATGTAAGGACGGCGATGCCAAATATTATAGACAGACAAAAAGATCTATTAAAGTAAGATATAAGGAACACATAGCACACTTAAAATATGGAAAACCTGAAAAATCAGCAGTCGCCCATCATATTTTGCAACAGAACCATTCCATAGACTTCATTTCATTAAGATTATTTAGACAAGTTAACAACAGGCAACTAGATGCCTATGAGAGTGTAGAAATAAGTAAACTAATAATATTATGAATAACGATGACGGACCTATACCAAAGAGCATAGTATATAGCTTGTTAAAATAATATTGTTGGGTTTACTGATAACTACGTAAGGACACATTCCAAAAATAAATTTAGATAGGCAATATAACAGTTAAACATATATTGTAAAATAATAGATAAGGCAAAATTGTAACATTAACTTAGGTTGGTATACCTGTATGGGTGGTACACCTGAATTGTTTACTTTAATGGGATATCTATTTAGCATAAATAGCATTAGCTTCGCGTTAGTTTCCAGTTTAATCTTCCTCTTTGAAGATGATCACTTGGTGATCGAGGTGTTCAAAATAACCATTTGGTGTTGAGAAAAAACTTCAGTAATATTGATTTTTGGCCACAATTTCTTAAATCCGTCAGTGGATGAGGTTTTGAAACATTTACAAATATGAATCACCAGATATGGGAATAGCAATGTGATTTCTTAATATTCCTGCTTAGACATTTATTTTCTAATGAGTTTTAGTGTGTCGAATAATAGGTGAGTTCATATCTGACCAATATCGTATATTGTGGCGGTTAACAAATACTTTTTATGCATTTTCGATTTGAAATCAAACATTTGGACATTAACTCATAAAACTGCATTCTCTCTATGGCATATTCACATCTGTTTGTCTTTACATACTATATTATAATGATATTAATGATAATAATCATTATGGAGTGTCTACATGACATAATGGTACTGGATATAGCCCGTAAAGTCGTCAGGAGTTCGGATTCCCTTCTCTGCATGGTCCGTGACCATGAGAGAGCAGGAATTGGAGCATTTCTCTTCAGGGCAGCTGCCCGAGCAGCTGATGAACTCGGTTCAGTTTTCGACACTGAACGAGGTGACCACAACTCTGTCACCAAGTTGGAACCCGTTCAGCAAAACGCTCATATGAAAGCCGCAGAGATCACCTCACTTCTTCGGAAACATAGGGATAAGCCAATGTATTGGGTCTTCTTCAATAACATTGAAGACCTTGGCTTATCAAAGCGCCTTACTTTCGCTTTCCTCAGGTCGAGTGGGCTGAAGTCGGAAACTGAGGGGTTCATCATGGCTTGCCAGGATGGTGTCTTCAACACCTCAGTCTACCGCAGTCGCGTGATGGGTATTGAGGTTCCTGACACAAGGTGCAGGGCCTGCTTTGAGGCGCCCGATACCCTAATGCACCTGCTATCAGCATGTCCAGCATATGCGGTCTGGGTCTATATTCATCGACATAACGCGGCCTTTAGAATGCTTTATTACCATCTATGACACTCTTGCGGTATTGACGAGACACCGGTGTTGCCCTACGTTCCGGGGGATATTGAATCCGTTGTGAGGAACGAGAAGTGCCAAATTTATTGGAACTATTCGTTCCCCACCCTCAGGCTCATACAAGCTAATAAGCCTGATGTAGTCCTTCTCGACCACCAGAGCGAAACGATATTTGTCATGGAGTTTTCAGCTCTTGGCGAGAGGAATATCGTCAGAAAAAAAGGAAAAAACAGATAAAATATCAAGATTTTCTCTTCGAACTCCGCAGACTCTACCCAGACCACTCTGTCAAGATGGTTGTTCTGATTATTGGAGTCCTTGGTGGAATGATACCCTCTCTACTCTCGAATCTCAAAATCATACCGGCTTGCCTCACTAAGGCATAAATCTTAGCCGGACAGATGCAGAAGGCTGTCATTCTTGGCTCACTGCGCTTGCTCATGGCACATGATTCTCGGACCCAATGATCACTTATCTCACGGTGTGGGGAGTAGTCATTGGTTGATAATGCTGGCGCGCCCCCCCTGATATATCGAGGCTTCGGGGGATAGGGCCTGACTAGCGCACACCACGGTGAAAAAAAATCTTAGCCGCACAGATGCAGAGGGCTGTCATTCTTGCCTCACTGCGCTTGCTCAGGGCACATGATTCTCGGACCCAATGATCACTTACCACTTACGGTGTGGGGAATGGTCATTGGTTAATAATGCTGGTGCGCCCTCGGAGCTTCGGGGGATAGGATCTAACCAGCGCACACTACGGTGAAAAAAAAATAATATAATTTTATCAACAAAAGATAAATACAAAATCAGATACGAATAAGTTACAACATAGAATAGATGAATAAAGCGATTCTAGGATAAGTGCAAAGCACTTGTTTCCCATAACAACATTTAGAAAAAATGACAAAATAAAAATGTTATAAAAAATTATGAAATGTGGAATATGCAACAATTTAAGAATGCGTGTGTATATAAATAAATAAGTCAAGCATCATAAAGAATACACAATGCAATAATTATAAAAACAGGCAGGTATATACACATTATAATAAAATTTCTATTATAATGTTTATATATTATGTATATATGTTTTTGAAAATATGAGTGAATTATCCTGTAACCACCAAGGTCAACCTTACCCTTAACCTAACTAGGCTAGAGGGATGCTAACATCTTATCCCCAACTAGTCTTAAACACCTTCAAGTTCTGCCAATTACTCAATGTTTAAGTCACGATCTAAGTAACAGAAACTGCTATAGCAATGAAGAATTTCAACAATAAACTTATTAGGTTGTTTCAAAAGTTTTGAGTCTACTTTAAACTGGAATACATCAGTGAATACCTCAATTCAATCGAAATAAGTACAATTTGTATCAGTGTACTTTTGCAAACGTAACACAAGTCAATTAATTCCGTCAGCATAAAAATTGAGTGCTCGGGATTAGATTAAGTCGACGAAGTCGGTTTTCTTCTGATATTGATTGACGAAGGTTCTACCGGTGAAAACGTTATCGAGGTGCTTGAGAAGTTCGTAGTCAGTTGGCGAGAGGTCTGGAAAGTAAGTTGGGTGAGGCAGAGCTTCGACGCTCAATTCGTTTAATTTTCTGACGGTGATTTGGGAAACGTTCGGACGGGCGTTGTCGTGGAGCAGGAACGGATAATCTCCGTTGACCAGTGCCGCAGTTGCTGACGCAATTTTTGGTACATCTCGTCGCAACGGTGATCCTCCACTGCAATTGGAGACGTTCAGGATAGTGGTTGGATAGTCGACACTGGTCAAGAGAAGAGGTCATCCTGCTCCACGATAACGCCCGTGTGCATGTTGTATGTTGGCAAAAAGCACTGATTCAAGTGGCGCTTATTTCGATTGAATTGAATAAGTATTCACTGAGATATTACAGTTTCAAGTAGACTCATAAAATCGAACACAACTATCGAAACAACTTAATATAGCTATTTATTCCCAGTGATGTGTATTCACCCAAAATACATTCTGTAGGTTTTGATTGATCAATTGATTACCTCAAAAAGTAACGACGGCTCTCACTGTTTGAAATAGAGAGATCCAAATAGAGATATTGAATCTTTGATCATATCTAGTGGTATCATACTATATCTGACGAGTTAGAAATTAATTTCAAATTTCTAGAAAAGTGATTCAAAATGAAAACGGTCAAAAGGTTTCATTGAAAAAAAAAGATAATGATGTAGATAATGTACTAAAAAACAATACCGAAGGTCCTAGGCAGCAGTCATCACACCACTCTCCTCAGCGATTTACGGAATTGATCGGATATAAAAAGATAAAATCGTGGTGACGCTACACCCAACGATTTTATTATTTTTTTTATCTTTCAAGTGCATTTTGGGGATGTTTTGCTCAGCACGATCATTAGCTTCAGAGATTCAGTCACTCAGAACTTGTCCAGATTTTACTACCAATAATTAAACCACTGCAAGGAAAAACATTATCTTTTGTGAAAAATACTAGGCATTTTGTTGAACTACTAGGGACAATCGAAGTCAAAGAGCAGGATCAACTGATCAGTTCCGACGTGGAAAGCTTCTACACCAACGTTCCTGTCGAAGAAGCACTTCGAATCATACAGAGGAAACTAACCGAAGATGGGAATCTGAAAGATAGAACAAAGTTACCGATACAAGTAATCATGAAATTACTAGGATGATATGTTCGAAACTGCCACTTCCAACTGAAAGACGAATTATTTACGCAAGATGAGGGACTGCCAATGGGATCGCCACTTCCACCGGTTATAGCCAACATGTATATGGAGTGGTTTGAAACTCTGGCCTTCGAAGAAGCCCACAAGAAGCCCCGAGATTGGTTGAGATACGTGTACGACACCTTCATAATATGGAACCATGGAAATGCAGAACTAGACATCTTTCTGAAGCACATCAACTACATAAGTGCTTTCATCACTTCCATAATGGAGAAGGAAGTCCACAACGAATTGCCATTCTTAGACGTATTGCAGAAGAGAACCGCCACAACCAGTACTTGTACTTCCCTACATCAGAGGATTATCGGAAAGGATAAGTAGAATTGGTTCCAAGTTTGACATCAGAACCTGCTTCAGATCTGAGACACTATCCGTAGCAGCCTCACGAAAACCAGGCCACCAAACGCGGACTGCGTTTCCAAGAATTCCATTTACCGGATACCCTTCGAGTGCGGAGAATCATACATCGGTGATATTAAGAGGTCATTGAAAGTTCACATTGTCGAGCACAAGAAACACACACAGCGTGGAGAAACCAGCAAATCAGGAATAGCAGAGCATATTTGGACT